TTAACAACAACAAAAATCCCAACCTAATCCTAATCATTGTGGTGATAAAACAAACATGGGTGGACAAAGACACATTACTGCTTTGAGCTCCTTGGAAGAAACATATAATTGATCTGGGAAATAAGAAATAATCACCTGCTAAGTTCCATAGACTAATGCTTGTTAACAGAGTAGTTACAGAGGCTAGAAAGAAACCAATGACACTTTTGGCTTCTCTGCTCTCTTTTTATCTCCCTGGGCCAATTTAAGTGTAAGCCATACAAAACAGACACTGTTATATTGCGTCTGGCCAACAGTCCCTCTCCTTTCCCTGCGTTGTGTGTTTCATTTTATTGTAGTCTAACTGCTCTGAGCAGGAGTTGCATACAAGCTGCCAACAGCAGTTTAGCTGTGTTCTTTGTATGACTTTAATAGCAGCCTGGCACACAAATTTAGATGGTTTCCTGGCACACTGGGTTATTAGGTCAGCAGCCGTATCCGATCCCCTGAGATTTCAGCATTCATACCTTTAGACTTGTGGGTCTGGTCCTTGTGATGTCCCAGAAGTGAGACAGAGCAAAGGTAGGGAGGTTGGGCATAACTGCTTCTGGGTCAGCCCATTGTGGAAATGTGAATATGGCCACTCTGGGTAAACGGGTGGGAAATTTAGGTAAAACCCAGCTAACCAGGTAATACAGTAGGACAGAACCAAGAAAAAACTAATTGTGGGTTTTGATGGTGGTTGTTTTTTGTTTTAGTAATCAGGAATGCAGCACAATATGTCCAGTAGCCCCACAAATTGCCACCATTCCTGTTATGGGAGGTTTCCTCATCCTCTGTACAGTGGGCTCTCCGTATCTGCTGGGTTTGGTTCCAGGAACCCCCATGGATATCAAAATCCATGGATGCTCAAGTCCCATTATACAATGACAAAGTAGTTTATTGCATTCCCTTTTTTGCCTGATCTGAGCATGGGCTGGGGATGCACGTGAATGAGGGGAAATGGATTTTATCTCACTCGAAACAGTCAGCGACCCATTGCCATGCTGTTGCCTGACTACCACCCATCCCTTATCCACGCTGAGCCAGCCAATTTTGCTGAGCCAGAAAGCTTCCGTCCTTGAAAAATCAGCCTGTTCAGCACAGGGGATGGGTGGTGCTCGGGTGACGGCATGGTGATGGCTTGCCAACTGTTTTAGATGTGATAAAATCCATTTCCCCTTGTTCATGCGCATCCCCAGCCCATGCCCAGATTGGGCAAAAAAGGGAATGTGATAAACTCCAAAGTAAAATGGTGTCCCTTGTGTAAAATGGCAAAATCAAGGTTTGCTTTTTGGAATTTATGTATTTTAAAAATATTTTGAAGCCATGGATGCTTGAATTCATGGATAAAAAAATCTGTGGATATGGAGGGCTGACTGTCCTGTTTCTGTAAGAGTTGGTGTGGTGTAGTGGTTTGAGTGTTGGACTATGATCCTGGAGGTCAGTGTTCAATTCCCTGCTTGGTCATAGAAACCCACTGGGTGACCTTGAGCAACCCACACACTCTCAGCTCCAGAAAACCTCATATGCATCCACCATTTCTAACCCCATACCACTTTCTTCCTTCCTGGCATTAAAAAAACGTATTTTAAAAGCTCCTGAAAAAGTAAAAAAGATAGAGGATTAATCAGGACTGTGCCTGCCAAACTGGGAATGTAGGAGGACAAGATAACTCATTCAGATGCCACAACTAACAATATATATATATATAATCTGCAATTAACAACAGAACTGAAAATATTATATTTATACCCTAACTCTTGGTTTGTTTTCCATTGCCTTCTCAACCTATCAGTGCTACAGCACAGCAATGCACAAGTTGGGGGCTTATCAGTTTGCACCATTCTCACAGCATTCCTGCCAATGTGGAATCTGCCAACTAGTGAGTGTTGGGGGCAAGTGGGTTGAGAAGGCAATTCTTCTGAATTGGGGCAGCTACATCAACTGAAGAATGGGGCATGTCTGCATTGAGCATATAGGTTACAGGAAGATAGCAGTAGGGGGCTTCCAGATCTTACGTTTGACTGAGCTGGACCTTCTTTGATAGTTTCAGCCTTGTGTCTCCAGTCAGTGTCGACTTGCGGGTGCAAAAACATGTGCTAGGCAAAATAATGCACCATATTTTAAAGCTTGTGTGTGTGGGGTTGCCATATTCCAATCTCTCACAACCAGGCATCTAATTTACATATTATACAAATTATTATAATTATGCATATTATTAATTTGCATTCTGATTATGCCAATTCAACACATTATTCTCTGCATCTTTTCTACCATTATGTTTCAACTTCAGAACCAGTACCAAGCTAACAGCTCTCTCTTTTTTCTTCTCCCCAAGCTGGTGTGAAGAAAGGGAGGCTTCCAAGCAGCGCTAGAGAGTCAAGGGCCTCCCTTGACACTCTCATGGCTCTTTGGAAGCAAAGATCCACTGTATTGCCAGGCCCTAGGCTCAAGCCACAGACACAATCACCACACAACATAAGGGCATCTCTCCCACCCTCTGGGCCTGTTGGAGGGAAGGGGAAAGGAATGGAAGAATAAGGTGGCAATGATACGCTTGTGCAGTAGCAACCAGAGCCTGCAAGGTAGGATGAGGCTCCCGCCAGTGCCAGTCTTTTTGCACAGTTTCCTGTTTCATTGTCACTGCCCCCATTTGAATCTACTCATTGGTCTGCAGCAAAAGAGAAATCTGGGATTTACTGCTTCAACTGGTCCAGCTGGCCAGGACATTTTTTTGTCCCTTCAATTTGGGATTTTCTAGGTTTTCCAGGACAAATGGCAACCCTGTGTGTGTGGGATTTTGTTTGGTTTTTTGGCTGTCTGTTCTCTCTGAGCACATGGTCTTACGGAGCAGGGCTTCTGCTGAATCACTGACTTGCTTGGGGTGGAGCTACCAGTCACTAGCTTTACATAACTACTGTCTCTGTCTTTGGATCTCAGGAGATTATTGTATGGCAAATCCACGCCAGCATAGATGCAGGTTGTAACCGTCTTTTCAAGAATGGATTTTCCCATTCTTGAAAAGCTGCTGGAGAAGTTGTACCCGGGTTGGATACAGACTGCCTACTCCTCAGGCAGGGGGAAGTGTGATAAGATCCGTCGATGATGGTTATAATCCATGTCTATCCTGGCATGGATTTGGAGAGCGATAATCTCCTCAGGCTCTGAGGGCTAGTGAGCATGCACAGTCATACCAGTAAGACTTGAACAGGAGGGAAGGAAGGAAGGAAGGAAGGAAGGAAGGAAGGAAGGAAGGAAGGAAGGAAGGAGTTGAACAAGAGCTCCCTCCCTAACAGTCAAAGCCAACATGCTTTTCACATGGGCATTTTGCAGGGGAGTTTTGATGGGAAGTCCCAGAGTCCTGTTCCAGTGACTACTTAAGACTGTTGAATATGCAGTGTGAGGGAAATGCTGCAGTCATCTGCAATAGTTGCGGTATGTTTGTGATCATGCCAGAGGATGTGGGGAGCTACACCTGCCCAAGTACAAGTTGGTCGTCACGTTGGAAGAAAAGGTCCAGCAAACTGAGGCCCATGTATCTTCTCTTTAGCATAATGGGAAGGATGACATTTTTTTTTGGCCAGAAGGCCACATGCTTACTAGAAAAATAAAAAAGAAACAAGATCTTAAATTGCACAATTTGAATTCAACATGCAGTGTTGCTCAATCTTTAGCATGCTGTGGCCATTCAGCATCTTCACTCAGTTGTTTTGTTTTAATTTGTTTATAGATTTGATGTATTTCCGCACACCCAGTTTTACTGATACCTCTCTCTTGTGTGTGAATATTATTGATACCTCTCTCTTGTGTTTTGAAAATATATGTGGTATACAGATGAAATCGTACTATTTTACAATAAAATGTTTGGTATGAAATTTGCTATAAGTTTGAAATACTGCAAAAGACTTTCCCAGTTCTAAAAAAACATGCTATAGACAAACCACAAAATTGATGATCAGAAAAAGAACTAGTTACCCTCCCTCTGACAAGCTTTCAAATCTATCCAACATAACGATCACTGTTTTGATTCTTTTGTAAATTCAGATTGATAGCATCCTAACTTCAGCAGCAAAGAACTGAATCAACCACAAGGATGTAAGGTATTCAATTAGCATTCTAAGCAGCCACAGTTTAGGAAGAATGCGTGTGAACAGAACAATGAAAAAACCAAAATGTACAATGCGTGAGTTAAAATTAACACAGCTGATGAATCAGTTTCATTATCTTGGAGCAAAATGACTTTCTGGGCTGTTGTAAGAGACAGCAAGGATGGTGCATACATGTAAAGTTGGGGGTGAGATAATTGCTGCTTAATTGGAAAAAGGGAAACATCTTATTAAAAGCAATTGCTTGACAGTATTTCCTGGTGTGGGATGTGATCGTGTACTTTTGGAACAGGGGAGAAGAACTGAAATACAGTTATAAAATGCAGAGATCACAGAGTGAACACAAAGGCAGAAGCCAACTTGTTTTTTGTAAAAATAAAATGTGTCTAATACTACACGTGGAATTGACAGGTGTTCTTTTTCAGTGGTCTTGGAAGCAGGGAAAAGCTTCATCAGTTAAATTTCTTCTAAGTAGCAGAGGAACCTCTCTGAGCACAATTGCTGGCTATGTTAGAATGTCTTTTCCATTTCACAATGGAAATGTTACCTCTGGCTCTTATTGAAAAGCTTATGCTACATGTACACTTCATAAGAAATGACGACAGACTTAACAACAACTTTTATGTGCTATATGTCCATCTCTTTCATATGCAAGGTTCATATAAGCTTCATATTCCACATTCATAGGCCAATCTTTGGAAAGGCATGATACCAAATTTTGAATTGACTTTTAATGTGTTTGCTACATGTTATTTGAACTTATTCTGTTGAGCTATGTTTTCTCCTTTTTTTTATTCTAACCTTCTAAAATTTTAAAAAGAAAATAATTCAAATACATAATAAGACACTTGTTGTTAACTGCCCTTGAATCGATCTCGACCCATGGCAACCTATGGATGAGACATCTCAAAGACCCTCTGTCCTCCACTGCTCTGCTTTATTTTTACAGCACCTTAATACCCAAAATGACCTCCTTCATAGAGTCCATCCATCTGGCATGGGGCCTTCCTCTCTTCCTACTTCCCTCCACTTTCCCCAGCATTATTGTCTTTCCCAAAGAGTCCTCTCTTATCATGATGTGTCTGAAGTACGACAGCCTCAGTTTGGTCATCTTGGCTTCCAGGGAGGTTTCTGGCTTGATCTGCTCTAGGACTCATTTGTTTGTCCTTTTGGCTCTCCATGGGATTCTCAACACTCTTCTCCAGCACCACATTCTCTCAAATGCATTGGTTTTCTTTCTATCATCTTCCTTAACTGTCCAGCTCTCACATGGTAATAGGGAATACAATGGCTTGTATGATAATAACTTTTGTCCTGAGTTGTATATCTTGGCATTTTAGGATCTTTTCTAGTTCTTTCATAGCCACCCTCCCCATTCTTTGTCTTCTTCTGATTTCCTGACTGCAGTCCCCATTTCTAAGTTTTTAAGGGGGGGAGGGGGAGGTAATTATTCTTAATTACTGCTGAATTTTATGATGTAAGCCGCCCCGATTGAGCTCAGAGGGGCGGGGTATTAAATAAAAATTATTATTATTATTATTATTATTATTATTATTATTATTATTATTTCTATCAATTGCAGGTATACATATAAGACATATATATGTAAAAATAAAAGGACAAATACTGACTAATCTGCCCTTTGTTGGTTAGTGAGAGGGACACAATATTGATTTCCCCCCTTAGATTCTCAGTAGGCCCTTGGTAGAAAGATGCTGAGGGCAGGGAACCACAGGAAAATGATGGAAAACAGAGCTGTCTCTTCATTACATAGCCTGTGATGCATAGCTTGTCATGCCCCACACCTGCCATCAGATGTGGGGGAAGATGCTGTCTTATCCTTACTATTGAAGTAGGATTCAGTTGCCAATGTAATGGGCAGCACATGAAAAAAGCAGCTGTTTCCTCTTGTCTTTTGTCACAGTCAAGTGTCATCATGTTATGTATGGGTCAGCACTGGAATTTGAGCAAAGTTAATGCAATTTCTTTATCCTCGTCTTTTCTGTAAAAGGAGAAGTGAAATTATGTAGAGCTTCTGAGATCAAGATTGAAGTTCTATGGAGCTTTGCCCTTTGTTGTTTAATAATGCCCTTATTGCATTATTAAACAAACCTGGCAAGCAAATGAAAAAAACAAAACACGTTTTCCCCCTCCTTCTGCATGACTTCGTTCTTTTTCATTCTCTTCTGGTTGTAAAACCATAGGAGAGGGTCGTAAAAGTGTCATAAAAGTGTCCCATTTGCCAAGAGGAAATAATCCATTTGGCAAAAATGAGCTTTTACAATGCTCTCCCACACTTTTACAACCTGAAGAGAATGAGAGTCATGCAGAGGGAGAAAAAAATACTCAAAATCATGTGTC